TGATTGCTTCACACAAATGTAAATCCTAATAAATAAAAAAATTGTAGGATGAAACATCTAAATGATTTCTCATAAATCGAAGCCAAATAATAGGATAGCTTGGGAAGTCACCGAAGTTCTCCTTCGAATTCGTGACATCCTCTAGTGTTTCCTCATTTGGATTCCAAAACAAAACGTTCCAAATTTGAACCAATCCCCCTTCACACTTCTTAGTCCGATATCTTTGAAATATCCTTACCATTTGAACTCCTTGAAGATAATTTTTCTTGATTTTTATCGAGAGTATTCTTAGGTAACTTCAGTTATCTAAGATGTAATTAACTATAGGGGCTTGCCCTTATAGGAGGCTTTTTCTCGAACCCAACATAATATAAACCTTATTTAATTCCTTATATTAAATAGGGGAATTTGTCGGCCAATATATTGGTTTCGCAGACCAAACGGATGTCATAACTTTCTTTAGTTTATTTGATCGAGCCTCACCCTCAATTCTTGTGATCATCCTTCGGGATAGATACAGGATTTGAGGTAAAACGCTCTTTCATCTAAACTATGAAAATTATGGGGTCAGTTTGACTTCATCTTTTTCAAAATTAAATTTTTTAAAAAAAAAATGTCCTTCCGAAGCGGGCAACGGGATTTCAATTCCGATGACCGACAGCTTCTTACGGGCAAACCCCACACCAAAAATAGTGCCGACAGAATCTTTCTTGGGGCTTGTTTTACTGGGATTGCAATTTAGTTTATCCAATACCACTCCTTTGGTCTCCGAAAGTGGCAAGAAACATTTCCTTGCTAGGGTATCCATTGGAAGGTTCGGCACATTCTCCATGAAAGCGTTTGGAAGCTAACTGATTCAGACGAGAAAAATACAAAGCAAATATGGAATGTTAAAAATCCTTTCATGCCTTATTTATAAGAACCAAGGGCGAGGAAATCAAGGTAGTTCAATTATTAAATCGTTGATTAAGAATAAAGGCTATCTACTATTTGTATTAAATTATCTTATTCTTATCATAACGTCATTATCAAGTAAGAAAATCAATAAACTAAAATATATACATTGAAAATGTGTCAGTTTTAATCCTAAGGAGATCTAATGGCCCAAAAGAAATAGCCTATGAAAAGTGAGGGCGCACCCACATAAGACCAAAATGCCCACTTATCCAATCGGATGCAATTATCCAAGCCAAAGAAAACAAAGCCTAAGCCAACCAATTCACGAAGCTGATGCACGGTCAGAAACGTGATACAGAGGCATCCAAGTCAACTGGCATAGAGAAGCTGACCCCAGAAAAAATCTAGCCCATTTACATCTCCAATCATACTGATGGTATCCAGAAACTCCCCACAACTATTATCTGGGTTAACAACTAGACTAACTCGGCCAACTAAGCCAATCTGGCCAACTCGATGTCAATCGATCTCAGCTGACCGGATTTGCCAACTAAACCCCAACCGATCAAACCAATCCTGCCAAGTTGAAGTCAAACGAGCTCAACCAAATGCACCAAATGACATTCAAGCGATAGACTCGTACTATAAAATATCTAGAATACCATGTAATATCACTATATTGTTCATTCTCCCATTTAAATAGAGAGTTCATTTTATGAGAATGAAAACGATAGATATGACATATTACTGTTCATTATTATCCACTTATGTCCCTCCCCCTATCCCTCTCTCTCTCTCTCTCCTGACTAGCTCTATTCAACGAAGTGTGATTCACAGACAAATCAAGATTCAAGAGATATGAAAGATATGGGTAGTACATGTGTATATGCCTCTAAATACAATCACAAGAAAATAATTATTCCGCATAAGTTGTCTCAACTCATAAAAGATAAAAAAAACTGTTATCGTAAGGCTCTTAAAAAGCGAAACTTTAAATATAGCCATAAGACTGAACGCTCGGAAATCAACCAAACAACTAAAATTCATCGCACGTAACTCGCAATAAGATTTTTCAAAGATAATGGAAGAGTTATTCAAACGCTGCATTAAAATCAGTTGCAAATAGACGTAAGCAGACGTCGTGGTGGCTTTCCCGGCCTTCTTGCATGCTGTACGACGTAGTTATCGAGAAGCAAAACATCGCCTTTCTGCCATTTGATGTCGACGCAGTTCTCTTCCAAAAGCTGCTCGTAAATGCCAAACACTTCCGAAGGAAAAGCATTTCCATCACCAAATTTATTGGAAGCCATATCTTTATCGTCAGTGTAGCCATGAATTGGGATAATCCATGCCCGCTTCCCCTCGCGTTCAACAACCGGATTTAAGGGTCCAAAAACTAACTCTGCACTTCCATCACTGAAGAAGTTAACTGCGCTGCAAGAAAGCGTCTCTTTGGCCCTGTTCACGAATTTAGTGAGTTAAACACACTTGTAAATATAAAAAATATAGAGAAATTTACATACATGCTACATAATTTCTTTGTATTTACATGTCTGCCACCTAAAGCTTGATATTTATATACATAACACTTATAGCTTGTGCATGAAGAAATGTGCTTTATTTTAAAAAAGTTAATAATGATAATAATAATAATAATATTTTGTGTATATTTAAAAATTTGAACACTATACATGTTATTATAAATATTTAGTTACTAGATATGTAAATGTATAAGAATTCTGTGATATGCATGTATATATATATATATATATATATATATAAAAGAAAGTATGTGGATTATGAAAGTTTGTGGATTATGAAATTAAGATTTATGTCTAACTAAGTCTATTCAGGTGGTAAATTAAATAAACACTATAATTATTTAAATATTTTTTTATTAAGGTCTAAATTGAAAAAATAACTTAAATATATATAGCTAACTTCAGCATTGATTACAAAAAATCAGGCATATTCTAAACAAATTTAAAAAAAAAACTTCATTATGCTGCAATAAATGCTATAATTGATTTTAATCATTAGGCGTTCATTTGTTAATATATGAATTAATTTGGGTTTCTAGTTTAACTTTGACTTTATGAATTAATTTGATGTCACTCCTGCATTCAAAACATTTACCATGCTCTCACCAATCATCCAGACTTTTCCAATCCAAATAGCCACTCTATCGACCTCAGCATCTAAGTATTCTTCTATGGATCCCTCCGAGCTCGTATAGAGCGTAAGAAATTGCTCCAAGTCTGCAAACTTGGGATCCAAAAGTTTAGACATGACGAATAAGTCAGTCACTGTGATGGAACCGACTTGGAGCTACTCATTCAGGACTTTCTTCTGTCATTGATGGGAAGGAAGCATATCGAAGATCTCTTACACAGATTTCATGGCCGCCATCTTTTCCTTCAGCACATGATATTCCTGTTGGGCAACCAATAAGAACTCAAGACAGACTGGCAATCTCAACCTTGGCTCCCTCTCCTCTCAGCTACAATTGCTCACTTTTCTGCTTTCTTCCCCAAAGAGGCCAAGTCTTTATCATCTCTATGGTGTTAGGTACGGTTCATATACCAGAATTTGGAGTCTCTTAGAATGAAGAGGTGTGTCTCCTGGAATGAAGAGGTGCGTCTCTTGGAATTTAGTGGGTTGGGGAGAGAGAGAGCGTGTTAGTAATTTTATTTGTGTGTTTTATCTATATATATGATGTGTAATCCAATAGGTATGTATTGGATTCCTTTGAAATAGTGAAATTCGCCGCTCTGCTACCGAGGACGTAGGCATCTTTGCCGAACCTTGTTACATCTTTGTGTGTTCTTCTGGATTTGTGTCAATTCCTGTTTTTCTTCGCCATAATTTCTCAACAATTGGTATCAGAGCAAGGTTCTAGGGCACTGAAGAAAATTTTGGCGGAGCAGGAAGTAAGAAGAACGATTTGAGAATTTGGCATGAGAAGTTTGGGTGGTTTTCAACAAGCTTTGACGACTTCGGTGAAGGTTTTTCGATTCGCGACAATTCGAATCGCGGTTCTGAGCTTCTTCGGCGTGAACAGAAAGTTCGCGCAGGGGACGTGCGAACAGACGAGGTTGCAGTTTGCGACAGTTTCAGCGAGACAAAGAAGCGATTAGAGCTTCGGACAGACTTCGATGGTTCGGCGCAGGAAGTGCAAGAAAGGGATTAGCGAATCGCGGCATTCAGAGAGCTTCTGTTGTGACCAGTTGAAGTTCGACGAGGAGGTCGTGAGTTGTTCCCGCGACCAGGCGAAGATTTGCGACTAGCGGTACTTCGCAACAGGAGTGATCAGGATAGGCTTCTTCGAGCAACCAGGCGAGCGGAGTTCGCAGACGAAGGGGCGAATCGCTGCAGAAGTAATCGTGGTTCGAATTGCGGCAGATTCGAGCAAAAAATTTGGAGTTCGCGCGACATAGGCGAATTCAGCGAACTCGAGCAAAAAGGCTCGCAATGGTCTGCGAGCAAATTGGGGCGACATAGGAGAATTGCGGTAGAGGAGAAGGTCGACACAGTTCTTCTGCAACAGGGCTTCTTCGTGCGACAGTAGAAGGGATTCAAACTCTCTGTCGTGGGATTGGCTGCAGTAGGCGCGACTTGAGTGGCGGTTTGAGGCAGAAGTTTCGCGTGCCAGCGTTCGGAGGATCGCGACAAGGGAAGGAGTTCGGTGAGGTGGAGTTTGCGCATCCAGACTCCTACGACGAACCGACATCCAGTGGGGCTTCGAGGCGCGAAAGTTCACAATTCGCGGAATTCGGCGAGGTGGAGTTGGTGAACAGGAGTTCGCATGTAGTTACCGCGAACAATAGCGTTTCCGAACAGAGGAGTTTAGTGGAGTAAATTTATCGCGGGAGGAGTTGCGACAGATGGAGTTCAACAAGGTGCAGGAGAAGCGAGAAAGCACGATTATTCGTTAATAGTGTTTTCGCGGAGGTATTTCGCAAAGGGTTTCGCTCGCGGGACAGCAGGGACAGCAGTTTAGGCGAGGTGTTGACGCGAATAGGAAAAATGGTTTGTGTGAAAATTTTGATTCACAAATCACAACAGAATTGCAGGAAAATTGCTGCAATTGACGAAGAAAATTTTAGATTTCTTTAAATTTATTTGCGGTGTGTTTTTTGTTTCGACACAAGGTAGAAAAATTTTGTTGCAGGATTACTTTCAAATAGCAATGTCTGGTGCAAAATTTGAGATAGTGAAGTTTGATGGAACCGGAAACTTCAGATTGTGGCAAACAATGGTGAAAGATTTTTTGGCACAACAAGGAATTTTGAAAGCTTTGCAGGCTACGAAACCTGATAATATGAAAGATGAAGATTAGGAAGAATTGCAACTACGAGTGGCAGGTACCATACGTTTATGTCTGGCATATGAGATTATCTATCATGTTATGAATCTGAAATCTCTAGGAGAAGTATAGAAGAAATTGAAATCTCAGTTTATGTCCAAATCTCTGACGAATAAATTGTATCTGAAGCAAACACTGTATGGGCTGAAAATGCAGGCAGACACTGATCTAGCGCAACATTTGAATGCTTTCAATCAAATAATCACAGATCTGACACGATTTGATGTGAGTATTGAAGATGAAGACCGAGCAATGATTCTGTTGTTTTCATTGTCTTCTTCTTATGAACTGGTGACTACTCTGACATATGAGAAAGAAACTATCAAAGCTGATGAGAATACTATAGCATTGTTGGCTCACAACCAGCGAAAGCAGAATGCAGAGGAAAGCTCTCATGGCGACAGTTTATATGTTAAGGGTAAGCAGGATCATGGAAGGAAGGAAGAGAAGGAGAGTTATGGAATGCAAAATTCCAGGTCAAAGCCTAAAGACAGGAAGACGATTTATTGTTATAAGTGCAAGAAGTCGAGACATATGAAGAGAGATTGTCCAAAGCTCAAGAAGCAATTTGATGAGAAACTTGATGTACCTTCCAAGTCTGTGAATATGGTGCAGAGTGATAATTCAGATTACAGTGATGGTGATGCTCTTTCAGTTACAACAACTCAGTTGAATGATGCATGGATTTTTTATTCAGGATGTTCTTATCACATAACACCTAACAGGGAATGGTTTACTTCATACAATTATCTGATTCTGTCTGATTCTGGTTCAGTCTATTAGGATGATGATAGATGTTACAATATTGTTGGCATTGGCAAAGTCAGAATTAAGATGTATGATGGCACTGTCAGAACATTATGTGATGTAAGACATATTCCAGATTTGAAGAAAAATTTAATTTCCTTAGGCACTTTACACAGAAATGATTTTATTCTTAAGGCAGATGAGAATAAAAAAACCATCAGAATTGTTAAAGGTGCATTGAGTGTGATGAAAAGAAAGATCACTGTAGGTAATATCTATAAACTGTTGAAGAGTACAGTTGTAGGTGGAGTTCACTCTGTTGAATCATATGATGAAAATGCAGCAGGTAGGTTGATCAAGCAAGGGACTATCAACAAGTTCTTGTATTGCTTGAATTTGTTGAATGTTTGCAATTGTTAGACGGCATGGTTACCCAACCCACTTCAGCGTAAGAAACTCCATGACATTTTTTTATTTCTCCTAGGGGTTGGATATTCACCAAGGTGGAGATTTGTTAATGATATGTATATCTCATAAGGGGCTCGATATTCGTCAAGGTGGAGATTTTTTTTGTATATGTATTTCTCCTAAGGGATTGGATATTCGCCAAGGTGGAGATTTGTTAGGTATGGCTCATATACCAGATTTTGGAGTCTCTTTGAATGAAGAGATGTGTTTCCTGGAATGAAGAGGAGCGTCTCTTGGAATTTAGTGGGTTGGGGGGAGCGAGGGAGCGTTAGTAATTTTATCTGTGTGTTTTATCTATATATATGATGTGTAACCCTATGGGTATGTACTGGATTCCTCTAAAATAGTGAAATTTGTTGCTCTGCTCCCGAGGACGCGGGCATCTTTGTCGAACCTCGTTACTTCTCTGTTTTCTTCTGGATTTGTGTCGATTCCTGTTTTTCTTCACCATAATTTCTCATGTGGTAGCGACCCACTTTTTTATTCTGCTCAGTCATAAGTCCTTGATTGGCAGTGAGAAGCCTCTCAGGTGTTAATGTGATAGCGATAAAGTTCCGAACGCTCGAGAGCCCTAAGAGACTTAGAAAAGGCCCCAGACTATATAACCAACATGAAAGCAGATGAATAGTCATTTGTCGATGGAGAGTTGGTATACCAATCTGCCTCCCGAGCGATCATAGTGTATCTCCCGTCGGAGCTAGCCCATGCTTGCACCCCCTCTCCTTGAGAGGGAACCCAACTAATCGAAGAACCTTTCCTTCTTTTTTGAAAGAAGGGAGAAAGCAGAGGAGTTTATCCAAAGGTAGGTTCCTTTCTTTCTCAATGGCGCACATCCTCCTCCTAAGACGCTGACTTAGGGTCAAACCCTGACTCGGTCCATGCAAAAGAAGAAGTTTGACAACTCCACTTTGAGCAGATAGAACTATGAAGGTTGTGGTACCAAGTTGAGATGTAGTCGATCCAATTTTTGCCCTTTCTGCTGAAGCATCTTCCTCAGCTTCGCTCTCTTCCGAGTGACCAAATATCTCTTCAGGCTCTTACTGAAGCGCGTTTGAAGGATATGCACCCAACAAATAGGTGTTAATGAAAACCGAAGGTCTTCTCTCTAGAATAATCAATTCACTGGTGAATACTTTATGGATTGCCACTGTAATTTAAAAAATGAAAAAAAAAAATAAAGCCAAAACCTCTGATGAATGTTCCTTCGTCGTGAACTCCCATCGATTTCTCCTTGCTAACCACAACCTTATAGGCAGAAAACAACTTCACCCAATCCGCAGCTTTCTCCTTCATCCTGGCAGAGCGACTACCTCCGTCAGCTTCATCCCCTCAGCATCAGAGGCATCCTACATTTTGTCTGTCATCCTATCGAATACGTTCAAAAAGAGGGCCCTATTGACAGTCTCAGGATCAGTATATTGACGAACTAACAAAAACTGCCCTTCGATTCTAGAGTCTTCAATGTGAGAGTAGTCTGACCCCTTCTTCCTCTTAAAGATGTCTCCGATCGAAATAGACCTAATTGCTCAGCTTGAGGAAGATGAGCCAATAAACAACTTCAGTTTCAAGTTCTTCACCTTGTATTCTAAACCCGAAAATTAGAACCTACCAAGCATGTTGAAATAAACGTAACCATTGGCTTTCACTCAAAACAAAACCATGTGGGTAGGGAGATATGTCAACCAAGGAATCCCCATGAGACAACAGAAAATCAATTTTGAGCCATAATAACTCCATACCAGTTAAAAGCTGCCCAGAACTCGTGACAAAGCGGTAGCCTCAAGCCATACTTGAATTGATCCCAGTAAATAACCAAATCATCGCCAAACCAATCTATTGCCCTCTCATCACTCTGGGCCGCTTGGAGCTTTATGTTCAGGTCGAAGATGAAAGCCTCCTCCATCGATGCCACTTCTGAAGAAGATAAAATGGACGGCTCGATCGCAACTACTAACCCAAAATTTTGTGGAGCACGCTTTGGAGCCATCGAAAAAATAAAGGAAAAAAGCAAACAAATAGACGAAGCCATACAAAAGTAAAATAGAGAAAGAGAAGAACACAACGTAAGCGCAAAAAAAAAAAAACACGCAGCCCTAATGTGTAGGAACACGACGGAAGAGAAAATGTCACATGTCAATTTCGAAGAAGAAACATCAAGTCAACACAATTTGAAAACTAAAAAATAGAATTTTATTCCAAAAAATAGTATATGCTACATTCAGACTCTAGTCTAACAGAATGTATTTTACAAATTGGTCGTCGCTACCTCAGCTAAGACAAGACCCTTCCTAAGAAACCTTCTATATAGTATTTGCCCCTAAGTTTGAACTGACTCGCCCGATCTACTTCAGCATTGGCCCTATGTACGAAGTCCTCTTCATGGATTTCATACATCTCCCAACGGAGAGCCAATGTTACCCCCTGCATTTCCTCCAGATGAACTAGTACCTCAAGTAGATCCTCCTCTCACTTAAGCTCAGCCATCCGAGCCAGAGAAATATCTACTTCATCCAGACATTGAGCAAACATCCTCGAAGACATCTTACCTCCCTGGCATTCACTCGTAGATCCCAACAAGGTTGGTCAGGCAGCAGATCATGTTCTTTTCACTCTTGGTCGGCACCTGGTGTGTAAGAACTGACGTTGTAGTCAGGTATGGGCCAACACCAGTAAGAGGCAAGCTTTCGATCCACACATCCTCGACTTTTTCAAAAGATAAACACAAGAAAGAAAAAAGATAAAAGAAAAATCTTAAGATCATAAAACAAGAAAAAACACTCATACCTAGGATTCTCTCCTTCTTGAACCAAGTGACTGAGACTACAACCTCATTCAGTGGTTGCAGAACATTGCTGCCTCCTTGCAATGCGCCCGATCAATGGGTACCAACAGCTTCTAGAGCGGCCCGATCAGTTTGTCGACCAAAGACTATGACAAAATTCTTAGCCGACGAACCAGTTCCCAAACCATCGAACTCCTTTCTAGCACTATCTCGACCTTTCTTTGGGACCTCTCGGATTGAGTCAGATGACCACTCTTGATCCATCTGCATGGATAGCTTCGACTTCTTGGCAAGTTTCTTCTATCGTTTCTTCTTCAGCTGACCTCTGGGCGTCACTGCTTCTTCATCCAGAGGGCGGCCAACATTTTTTCCCAATCCACAAGTTTGGTCGAGGGATTCGACCTTTTCTCCAAAAGAATATTTACAGAGTTTGGCGTTTCCTAGGAAAGATACGCAGAGTGCTGAAGATAGTCTATCACGCCCTATTTATAAAGGTCATGACCATAAAAATCCATGGAGTTTACTTATTGAATCTTTAAATACGATAATTAAGACTTATTTTTGCATTAAAAATTCTCTTATTCTTGTAATTATTGTCACTTTCAGAAGCAATAGAATCAACAAACTAAATATGTACATAAAAAATATGTCAGTACGAACCCTGAGGTAATTTAATAGTCAAATTAAGGAGAACAAATGAAGGATCCTTCAAGGCCCGGGCGTTAGCAAACCAAGCCAAGAGCCTTGAAGGCCCAAAATTAACCAAGCTACAAGAGAAAAAATGTTTGTCCATAATGATTAAGGAGGTAGATTACCGACCGACATGAAAAAAATAGTCGAACCAAAATCTAACTCCAACACCGTAACCATAGCAACACAATCAGAAGCTCTTTAAAAGCTCCCCAAAATGACATCAATGGTCAATAATCAATTAAGAGCCGGCCGGCCATCCTATTTAGGAGCCAGCCAACCACCCCGATCAAGAGTTGGTCTGCCATCCTGATCAAGTGTCAGTCTGTCATCCTGATCAAGAGTCGACCAACCATCCCGATTAAGAGTCGGTCAGCCACCCCAATTAAAAGCTGATCGGTTATCCTGAATATGAGCTGACCGAAGCCGTTTTAGCCTACCGACCCAATGGCTATCGAGCGTTAAGCTCGGACCTGTAAGAAGACTAAAATATTTTATACCACCCCCTCCAAAGCAAGGGTAAAACATATAATTTTACATATTATCCTTTTATCTCCAATAAATAAGAGATCATATCATATATTAGAGGTTTTTTTTAAAAATTTTTTGTGGGGGTCTTTCCCTTTTTGCAACCTGGATTTTCAATGATATAAAATAGGTCACAATAGCTCGGAAATACCCAGTTTGCCCGAGAGGGGCGAGTCACTATGCACTCGTCTCTCTCTCTCTTTCTCCATTGGTTCCCTATACTCTATTACTTGGGTATGTCTCCCGTATAAATTTGGATTCAACATTAAGATTAATTTTTACATCATTTTGAAGTAAATTTTATTCGACTCTTTAATTTGCAAATCAATATTAGTTGCAGCTAGTGAAATCCACAGTATATCTTTTTGTCAAGAATTAAAATAGCGGCATTATATGCTTAATAAAATCAAAATTCTCCTTCAGTTTAAAGTATAAATTGTAACAATCAAATTTTCTATTCTAAATGATTGCAAAAAAGGCAATCGATCAAAAGCAGTGCGCACCTTTTCTCAGCCTCCACCTCATCGTCGCTGCCCAGAGAGGCTTTCCAACTCCTGTTAAATATGGATTGGGTTCCAACTTCTGCGTCAGTTGCCGTTTTGTTGCCATGAATTAATCCAACCTCCTTCACCTTCGCCATAAAATCTGGCATCCTCTCCTCCATCTTCTCAACGATCACATCACTCGCGACTATCGATGTTTCCCCTCCCTCCGGCGACGGCTGAATGCAGTAGAAGAATATCTTGGATGGCACCTTCGGACGCTGCTGATTATTTAACGGTTAATATTCAAAATAAAGATTTAAATTTGATAGCTGAGTATTGAATCACATTTAGTCAATTTGTACAAGAAGAAGCCGTCATTTTTGTTTTAAAATCAAGTAGATATTTAGTTGACTTCAGACTATTACTATATAACTCTAATTATTATAGCCAAAAACAACACTAGCCGGATTGATTGAACGATTTCAAATTAAGCAAGATCTTATTCAAATTAGGATCAGATGAAGCTATTTTTATAACCAGATCTAAAACATAAGGTCAAAGTTATGAGTTAAGATTCAGCAGACCTTGATTAGGGTCCAATCGCCGTGAGATACAATCATTACAGCACACAGAGATATTTAGTATCCTATTTTGACAGAATTTAAGCAAGATTTAGTTTAAATGATCCCCGCAAACAAAAGATCAGAGAGTTGTTTTCATGAACTCTGCTTCAATTCTGTTATGATTAATTGCAGCATTTATTTAAATCGTAAAATAAATAATCAGACAAATCATAGCTGTCATGACCCAAATTTTCCTAGGAATCTATGCAATTTATTAAATCTAAGAGTGTTTTAATGGACTAATCTTTTATTAAATTTAGAAAGAAAACATTATGAAAGCGAGCGAGAGAGAAGCATTGGGAGGGGAAGGAACCAGGGGCAACTCGTGGTGAAAGTTGATGAACAAGTCCGTTGAAGCCTCGTTGGCGGTGTAGATGCGTTCGGAGAGCTTAGAACGAGTGGTAGTCCCCAAAATCATTTGGTAGGGTTCCCAGTCGAAGGCTTCCACCACGCGTTCGAAGTCCTCCATAGAGGTCACTTTGAAGCCGCGGAAGAGCAGCGCTCGATGCCGGCGAAGTGTGGCTACGAGGAACTCGCGTTCGGCGACAACCGACTTGGCCAGGTCTACCTTGGAGGCAGCCGCCGGGAGTAGCGTCTTCGGGAAGACCTCATCGCCGATGAGCTTTGCTTCCGCGAGGCTTCCTTCGATGAATCCCCCCATTTCTCTCCTCCCTCTTAACTCGTTCTGCGAGCTGAACGAATATTTAAGGGAACAACCCAATGTCCAGCTTCAACTATCTATTTAACCGGCCAAAATTAAAAAAGAAATTATGGGCCCACCTCCTATCTTGCATCTCACACTGGCTAGAGGATCTGTGCTTTCACGTGATCGAAAAATTATTGCATGCGGTGTCCGATCTACACCGTAGATCACGGTAATCTGCGGTGAGGATGCAATCAAATTTTAAAGTGAGGCTCACTAAAATACATACTCACCGTAGATCACCGTGATCTAAGATATAGATCAGACACAGCATGCATCTATGCATGCATGCGGTGTCCGTATGCAATATTTTTTCCTCGTGATCAGTATTTGCATCTCTGTTTCTATTGTGTGTCGTCCTTCTCGTCTTTGAAATGTGAAATTCAGTGTTTGGGAGCTCGCGTATTAGAATCGTTTTGTGGATGTCTATTTGCGGGGAAATCCAAAACTGCAGGGGGTAAGTGCCATTCATAGCTCAAAAAATCATCATTACCCTTCTTCAATAGTTGAAATTCCTCCCTCAATTCTTCTAAGTACTCCTCTTTCTCTCATCATAACATGTGTCTTTAGGGCAGAAACCTAGTTGCGATTTGTTGATGTGTAGAAAAGTATGATTAATTTCCTATATGCATTGTACATTTTTACGGTTGAAATTGCACTTTAAAGAATGATATTTTTTTTCTTACAAGTATAGCAGGTAGTAGAAGTGAAACAAAAGGGGAGAGAAATGGAGTGAAGTGGAGATGATGTGGAGCAAAAGGTGACCCAAGAGACTGACACCTAGGCGCCAACCATTGGGCACCTACGCGCTCCTACCAAGTGCCTTGGCACAGCCTTCTTAGGCACCTAGGCGCCCATGTTCAATCATGCAGACAGAGAGGTTGGCGTCTTGGCGCCAGCAACTGCTGCCCAAGAGACTGACACCTAGGCGCCAACCATTGGGCGCCTAAGCGCTCCTACCAAGCGCCTTGGCACAGCCTTCTTAGGCGCCTAGGCGCCCATGTTCAATCATGCAGACAGAGAGATTGGCGTCTTGGCGCCAGCAACTGCTAGATAGTTTTTAGCAATTTTCCCCACTACATGGGAAGTTATTTGGCAGATGTAACAGAGGTTTTAAGAGAGTTTTTGCAAAGTCTTTTCATATTTGGGGAGGATAATAAGGTAGGGTTTGTTGTAGGGAAGATTGAGGTAAGTTTACTTAGATATTTTGGTGAGATTTGTGAGTTGTATTGGAGGGAAGACATTCATCATTGCAGTGAGGATTGGGAGATCATTTGGGGAGGCATTTCCAGCACTTTGTAAAGGGAAAAAGTTAAGTATTCTGTACTCTTTTGCATTGTATTTTCTGTAATCACAATTACAGTGGATTTGCTTTGTTTCAAAGATATTTTGTGGAGTTTTCTCCATGCTTTGTGAGTAGTCTTTTTACTTTTCTCTTGTGATGATTAAGAGAATGGTAGGAATAAAAGAATTGTGTCTACTAGAGTGTCAATCGTTGGTAGTGGGCAGAAACTTAAGTTGATCAAGTCGACACACATCTTCTACTACCCATCGACCTTCTGGACCATGACCACCCTTGAGATCCAGGTGAGGTACTAGACCTTTCAGATGTATTTTCCCTCTTGCAACTTCAACACCTCTTCGCTGATAGGCCTAGCCAACGCGGTGACTAAGTTCCTTGCCTTCTGCTTAATCGATCGAGCTGTGGAGCTCATTTTCAATCTTTGGCAGGAAATATCTATTGATATCCCAAGAATCTCCGTCACAAACAAGCAAAGACATTGTAATGGTCTTGAAGCGTTCAAATTAGAAGCTCTTGGTGTCCTTCATCGAAGCTATCACCTATTAGGAATGATTTACCAGGTTTGTCTTCACTAACTAGGATCTTATCGCTGGCTCACTGATCTCGAGGCTGCCCTCCTTTCTGTTGTGCAAGTTAAGTAGTTCATGCTCCATGCTCCTGACCGCCCGGAGGTAGCATACTCGAGATTGCTCCAAATCACCTCTGATAGTGATTATTTTGCCGTCTCCTCGGAACTTGACTGCAACGTGGTAAGTGGACATCAAGGCTCTGAAGCGATTTAATATCTGGGGGACAAAAATGGTTTTGTAAATTGAGTGAAATCTACTGTCTTTGTGAACTTCTTCTCTCCTTCTCCCAGGTGACCCCCCAATTGCATTACACCCAACACCTCCATTCTTTACCAGAAAAATAAAAAAGTGGGTCAGTCGGTGTTACCAACCGATCGGCCAAAAGATTAAGCTTATCGAACACTGACATGAACAAAATGTTCACAGAGTTGCTAGTGTAGATGAGGATACTCCCGACTTAATATTTACTAATTATCCTCGTAACCACTATAGCCTCATCATAGGGGTTTCCCCATTAGGGAGGATCTTCGACTGTGAACATGATGGGAGGACAACCGCCTCTTTTCTGCATGGATGTTTGGTTGCACAACTCTCCTTCCCTAGTCCTTTTCAGGGAGCCTCGTTGGGGGGCATCTGTTCCTCTGAGTATGGCCGGGACTATCCCAGCCACTTGGAAGACGTTCGTTCTGACGGGCTCGGACAAGGCCTCTAGCGCTTCGCCTTCCTGTGTGTTTAACTCGAGTGTCGCTATGCTACAAACTCCTTCAGCTTTGCCTCCTTCATCAACTCCTTGATGAGACTCCAGAGGTTCCCACATTCCTCTATGCGTAGTCATGTCCATGGTGATACTTACAGTATTTCCTCACATCTAGGAGAAAACCCTTGGCTCTCATTGTTGATGGTTCCTTGAGTACTCCTTGTACTGGATGGCATCTACAATTTTCATCATTAACACAATTAGAGGGGTAGCTTGCAATCCCTCATAATCTTCGTATTGTTATTCATAACGCGACACCGACCTCTCATAATACTGGGTCGATCGCGAGTCTTGACTCCTCGCTTTGCCACCATGTTGTTTGTTTTTTCATGTCATTCCACCATCATGAGAGGATTAGTCGTCCTTGAAAAGGTGTCAGATGAGTGCTCTATGCTCCTCCCTTGGTTTCGACCTACTGCTAGAGGGAGTTATATTGTGGGCATGGTGCCTTTCTAGTTCTTGTTTGGGGGTGCTCTCCTCCGTTATTATGTGCTTGTTAGCTCTCTCAATAGCTCGGTCAAATCTTAGGTTCATTAATGCTAAGGTCGTAAGAAAACGTGTCAGACCTCAAGGCTTTCTTCAAGGCAGCTACGCCGTTGTTGACTTTGAGGTATTTGACCCATAGCATTTTTCTCTGGAAGAGTGCAATGAATCTGTGTAGATTATCTTACTCACCTTGCTTGAGTTGCCATAAGGACTGTAGGCTCTTCATGGGTTTATGGGCATTAACAAACTACGATAAGAACAATCTATTGAAACCAGCACTCAGTCAGAAGTGCATGGAACCACTTCAAGCGTGACTGCCTCAAAGTGGTAAGGAATAGACGACACTTGAATGCGTTAGATTTTGAGCAGGCACACGACAGACTCAAATGTAGTTATATGGTTGTTGGGGTCTGAACGTCTCATGTAAGCTTCAAAGTTTGACAATTTAAATTTTTTTGGGCACTCCGTTTCATAGATTTGGAGGTAGAAAAGTGTTTTCTGGGTGGTGTGGCACCTCAATACACCCTAAGTGTTGTCATTCCACATGTGTGGATCCTGCACTCTTGGTACTACGAGTCGTCGGCCCCCTCAAGATGGTAGTTCACCCTCCTGCCGTCGTGCATTGGCGCCACCTCCTTGTGGGGTCCAATTTTCTACCATAACTATGATGACCTGATACGCCTAAAAAATGACTACTTTTTTATATATGTTTTATTGCTCAATTTTAATAATTTTTAATGATATTACACTTTAAAAGAATTTATTTGCATATTTTTTGTTTCATGGACAAGAAATGGAGTTTTGGAAAAAAATAGAAGGAAAAACTGTTTCATGGACAAGAAATGGAGTTTTGGAAAAAAATAGAAGGAAAAACGGTGCAATTTGGAGCAAGAATGAGCAAGAAAGAAAATTATGTCCTGACACATTTCGATATATCTTTCTATACTTAATCACTTATACACTTCTCACACATTTTTGAATGAAATTACACTTTAAAGGAATGTTGTTTTTATGCTTATTTTGTAGGTATATCTGTTAAAAATGCAATGCAACTAAAACAAGGCGAAACAAAGCTAAAACGGAGCAAAACAAAGCAAAATGGTGGAGCTACGTAGGGTGGGCGCCGACGACGCCAGAACCGGCGCCGACAGTGCTAGAGTGCAGAAAGCGATGCCAAAACGACGTCGACAGCGCCCGAGATGGTTTGGATGCAATCCTCGGTGAATTTCTAGAAGATTCAATGTATTTGGATGCTTTTTGGAAAGTTGCTTGAGGCATCTTTTGGAAAATTCGTCCCTACACTATAATAGAGTGCTTTTATGTCAGAAAAAGTGGTGTGTGTGAGTGAAAAAATGTGGAGAATGTTTAGAGATCTTAAAATAAGAGTAAAATATAGATTTCTACCTTTTTGGAGAGATTGGTGAGGGGATTTTGAGAGAATCTGTAAGGGAATGTTATAGCATTGCATGGATCAGCAAGAGACTTTGTGGGAGAGATTTTCATCTTTCTTTTAAGGGAAAAAAACTATGTATTGTGTTCTTCATTATCTTATAATTTTGTAAACACTTATCTAGTAGATTTATTTTGATTTAATGAAATTTTTTGTTGTGTTTTCTTTGTGCTTTGTGATGTGTTTCTCTTACTCTTTCTTCCTTTTTGGAAATAGTGACATGAGAAGATTATGTCGTTATTTTCCTTTTACTTTTTTTTTGCAATGAGTAGGATTCATGTTTAGGATATTGGGATGCATGCTAGAAGAAGTTTTAATTATAAATTATGATGGTTTTTCAACATCGCTCTTAATTTACTTTTCGATTTGGCCAATTAAATTGTTAAAATATGTTGTGAAACATATGATCAGGGAAATGGAGTATGAGTTTTACAA